TTGATTAGTACCAGAATGTGACACGGGTGTATTCATCAGAAGTGAACTGCAGTCATTCTTCATATATTCTAGAACACTGTCTAACTACATTGTTAAAGCTCATAAATTATTTTCCACTTGATGTATTTGGCATCTGCAAGCAATTAAAGATGATACTAGCTTAATGTTCTGTAAATTCAAGAAAATACGAATTACTAGTTGAATGTTAACTCAATGCCTATATTTTTATTTCCAAAACTGTAAAATAAAAAACGAAAGCTAGAGTGCAAAACATCTGCAACTGTTTCTAATAGGCAGAAACTGAATATGTGCTGAAAAAACGCAGTAAGTTTGTGATTTTGTAGATTTTTGATCAATGACAGTGTAGCTGTGAGGAAATATCAGTGGTGTGGGCTATTAATCATTTATTACTGATTACGGATTCTTGTTTTTTACATATTTCTCAGTGCTCATTAGCATTTTAGTTTGCAACAGACTGCAGAAATTTCTTACCAATTTTGGTGTTAAGTTCCCTTCCATATCAGAACAGGGTTTTCTGAGGGAAAAGCTTCAGTAAAAATTGAGAGGTATTGCCATATAGTCTGTATATATCCTACAGTCATTAGTGGACTGTTATTTATTGACCTCAGATGATTTTTTTTTTTCTTTTCATAGACTAAATTAAATGAATGGAGGGGAAATTTCTGTGCAGGAGATTACGCTGTTGGGAGTTATATATGGGAAACTTATCTCCCCCAGCTGACTTCAGTCATTATAAAATTACATTCCCTACCTCATGGCATGAGGATTTATTACATTGTAAGATTGTAAACTAAAGGTAATAAACTCCTTCCCTGCCCCCTGCATTTTAAAAATCAATGGAAATTGTTACTTTTTTTCCTAGTAGGCTGCAGAGAGTATTTGAAAGGATTTCTTTTGAGAAGAATAAAATCTGTATATAATTTTTTACAAAAAGAAATACTTAACATAATTTCTAATGAGAAAAGTAAATGTAAGTTACTAGACTTGCATTAGTGGACTATATAACAAATCACATTATAAAGATCTTTGCAGTGCATTTCAAAGTAGAAACTAGGCTAAAGCTAGGCTAGGTTACGTTTCTAACTAGTCATGGAAAGTCTTTTTCCAGCTGCATCACTCAAGGGATGGACAGAATATCCCCCAAAGGTTTGTGGTGAATTCTTTTTGTAGGTGAAAAATGCCAAGAGCTTTTAGTAATGTTCACATAAACTCTTCATTCAAGCTGTCATTTTTGTGGCTCCAGTTCCTCTTCTTTCATTGCTTATACTAGTAATTATGAAGCTAAATGAGCATTTGTAGCTTGCCCCAAGCTATCCAGAGGAAAAAAAAAAGTGATAAGCATTTACTGCATTTCATGTTTTTTCGCTTTGGGGTGATGCTAATGGTGAGAAGCTTTTTATTTCTACTTTCCAAATACATTTTCATTCTGTGATTGAAACAGAGAACTGATTATAAAGTAGGATCTGATTTTGTTTTCTTTTAAATAATGCTCTCCAATCTTCCACAAAGTCCTATAGAAGTTAAATAAAGTGCATGGTCTGCCATGTGAGTAGAATTGGGCCATTTGGTTCATCTAAACTTAAAAAAAGGTGCTCAAATACAAACCTCCCCTTGATCTTTCTCAGTCTTTGGTCTAAATTTCATGATCTGGACCTGGCTCTGAATAGAAGAAGGACATTTATTGAAATAAGGGAGGTTCTGACTTGATATATATATATATATATAAAAAAATCTCCGTTAGGACACTCAAGTATAGAAACGGGCTGTTGGAGAACTTGTACAATCTCCGCAGCTCTTCAAGACCTGACTAGATAAATCAATGGCAATCTGTTCCAATCTCATAGCTGTTCCTGCTTTGAAGTAAAGATTGAAGTAGAGATCCCCACCCTGAAATCTCTGTTAACTGTTTATATAAGTCAAGGCTGGAAGTGGTGTTCCCTCCTTTCCTAGCGTGCTTTGGAACAGAAAATGTACGTAGATCCCACCTTCTCTGCAGATTGCTGGTGCTGGTAAGAGAAAGCAACATAAGTTGTGCTGAGATCTGTTGACTATACGCTCAGTCAAGCCGAAATTTAAGCTTTAACAAAAGCTGCGGGGAACAGTGCTGGGGATCTATTTCTGTGTCCTTTGCTTGGAAGAATTTAGCTTTGCTTTTGCTGTGGACATTTGTTCAGTGACCACCCTGCTATAGCTAACATAATGCTGCTGCCAGGAGTTTTTTTCAGCTGAATATGTAATTTGGAAATGAGCAGTGATTTGTAAATGTGGAAGAAACCTGCAGTTATAACTGTAAGAACCAAATGACTATTTACAAACAAAACACTTCCCCTTCCCCTTGATATAGCTGGTGCCTCCACTATCCAAGACTATCAGTATCGTAAAAAATAACATCTGCATTGCTGCTTCTCAGCAGTTTGATCAACCCTGGGAGCAATGGAAATGAAACTATTTATCAGCTCTTAGAATTTCTTCCTTTACGTATTTTGCTTTTACACTGTAAGCTTTCTACGATACGGACATCTGTTTGCTAGAAATCTTATCAGTGCCAATGCTTTATTTTCCCCAGTTAAGAACTAAAGGAAGAAGCCTTTACAAGAAAACCAAAAAGCAGTCATACCAACGCTATTCAACATAAGTTGCTTTCCTGTACGTGTTGCTAAGACTGATGTTGTAGGATTTTTATGGAATAAAATTCAAGGTTTGGTTTTACTCATTCTTTCTGGCCTTAACCAGACAGTGACAATTTATGCTCTCTTGTCAACTGAGTTGCACAGGCTGCACATACTCCCACCGCCCTGCTGTTGTGTGGGCAGCAGGGTCCAGGAACAAAACTGGGCCCTTCCTCTGCTCGGCCTCCCTCAACGGTGCCGAGCCGAAAGGTGCAACTCGATTGCAAAACGGTTTTGCTGGCCAAGAGGTACTGACTACCCACCCACATTTCTAACTAGCAGATGGCTAGGAATGCCTTCAGAGCAAGATGAGGGATTTCACTACTTTGCTTTTTTAGAGTAAATAAATAATATTCAGAAATTCTATTTAAAATGTAAACTACACTTTTTTTTTGTCATGAAAGCATATATTATCATATAAGGATAATATTATGGATTCCCTATGAAACAGTGGCAGTTACCCAAGATAAATATTACTTTATTAATACACAGTACTACTACAGTATGAGACAGGACTCATCCTAATGCTCTAAATATCAAAGACTGACTTCTGAATAAGGACGCTTATTCTGGAAAAAAAGATCAGCTAGTACTCTGCTGCAAGGCCTCCTTTTGATAAAGAGAATGGATTAAGTTTGTATTTGGAATAAGAATTCTTTCACTGTGAACTGGTAGACCAAATAATTAACTTTAAACTACTATGTTTATGAAATGCTATGTATGAAATTTTGTGTAAAATATGACCTTTAAAAATCCTGTTGTCTTCAGTTTATTCTTTCAGTGAGTCTTATGCAGCTTTGCATTTTTCGCAGAGTTGCATCAATTTGGCATGAGTAATTTCAGTTTGGGTTCCTATTTTTACTCATCTGAAAATAGTAATTTGTAACTTTATAGGTCTTTATCCATGAAAATGGCCACTAGAAAGGTTTGTAAAGCCTGAGTCATAGACCGGTTTTTATGAGTATCACTATAGTCAGAAGTTTTACTAAGATTGAGCTTACCATCTGTATATTAAGTTGCCATACTAATAGCTGCATTTAACAAATGAAAATGAAATTTTGACAAAGTCCCTGGAGTCTCAGAGAGGAATAATGATGGTCCAGTTACAGAAATGGTATTCTGTTTTAGCATCATGTTCCCCATACTGTATGGTAACAGCAGGAACAAATTCAAGGCAAATTGCTAAATAGACTTCACCCAGAAATTCTCCATCTCGCTTGATGAATTTTATCAGAAAGGTCTGCCCTTGTCAGTCTCTCTCATTTCCCCACACTGTGATTTCAGGTGTAATTTTCTAGTCTGTTAATTTAAATATCACCTCAGCAAAATAGCTTATCTAAGGGACCTCATCCCATTTATTTTAAATTTCTGTATTTATTTTGTACATACCAGCATGCTGTCTGGCAAAATACTTCGTCTAGAACACACCAATAATTGAATTTATACATTACCTCTTGGATTCAAAATAGAGTATTTTACCAAAGATGACAATGTCATAAAGTTGATTCTGTGGTTCTAATTTCTAAGCTGAAAGCAAAAGGAAAATAAGAATGGCTTAGTTGATTTTACAGATGAAAGGACTGAAGTGTTTTCTTTATTATTATTTAAATGAACTGAATCTCCCAAGTAATACAGCCTTTGTTTACTGCTAAGATTTCAAGTCCAGCATCAGACTATCCCTATTAATATAAATTGTTACCATCAAAATTTATGATGAATGCTCAGAAAATTAAGGAAATGAAGTCTGCTTCATGTTGAGTCACAGCTGAAATTACTGCCTTCTTTCATTTGCTTTAAATAGAACTTTGCAGTATATGTTTTTAATTGTCATTAGGCTATTGAGTGTCTATGCAGTATCATCAGGGATATCAGCATACTCAGTGCATGACAATAGTTTTAACAGCATAAAATGATATTGAGAGCATTTTTTTTTACATTAGCAGCAAAGTCCTCCTCTTTAGTGTTCTAAATATAGGAATGTGATTCAGACCTTTTTGATATTTGAATTAAGAGAGGATGTGATATATTTGACTATTCGTTAGTCCAATTTATTGAAATGCATTTTCACAAGCAAATTCTGAATGCACTAGCTCGTTTGGATCCAACAATTCTGAGGAATTCCCTTACAGAATTTAGCAGGGAAAGGAAATAAATGATACCTTTTGAAAGTAGTCGCATATACCCAGAAAATTTGTTGCAGTTAGACACTAACTGGAGTTTTTTGTTTGTTTGTTTTGTTTTTAATTCAGCCTACATCCAGGTGAAAAATATTAAGTAAACACTTACGGATTACCTTGCTCTTTTTTTTAGCCCTGAAGTTGTAAAGAGTGAGCCCTACGGAGAGAAGGCTGATGTCTGGGCTGCAGGATGCATCCTTTATCAGATGGCAACACTGAACCCACCATTCTACAGCACCAATATGCTCTTCTTGGCAAATAAGGTATTTGGATTTGCTAGATCAACATACCCAGTTATTTCTGCATTGTTCATTGGATCTTATGTGCTGGATCTTTACGTGCTTGAGCAGTGGGGTTGGACTAGATGATCTCGAGAGGTCCCTTTCAACCTTAATCATTCTGTGATTCTGCGATCTACAAGAATTCATATGGAATGTTATAGAAGCACAAACCGCTCTGTGCTTCACATATGCAAATGAACAGAAATATTTATCACTGTATGGATTGTATCTCGTCATTATAATCAAATATAATCTTTCAAAATATATCAATATATATCAATATATATCAAAATATCAATATATATCAATATAATCATATCAAACAAAAATAGCTTGTAAATAATAATACATGATTACTTTTAATACTAACATGTTTTTATCACATTTTTATGCATTTGGAGATGGGAGTTTTAGATAGATAGAATACCACATATTCCCTATGAATTTTAAAGTACTATATTTTCTTCGATTAACCCTAGATTATTGATTTTACAGATAGTAGGGGCTGTGTATGAACCTGTGCCAGAAGGAGTGTACTCTGAAAAAGTGTCAGTTATTATTAAAAGGTAATTACTAATTTTGTCTTATTTTGACATCTTGCCAAAAAGGTGTTGTGTTTTGTTTTGTTTGTTTCTAGTAATGACGTGACAATTTATTGACTTTAGCAACCATTGATATTTATCTCTGAATATGCAATGTCTCCTGATTTAGTGGAAAATAGCGCTATCTGCTCACCTTGCTGATAACATGCAGTTAGTACAGACAAGACTCACAGCTACATGCCAGTAGAGTCAGTGGGTTTAGGCAACAGGTATGGGTTTGTACAAACTACTGAAGTGTTTAGCGCTACCACTGCTGCAGTTCATCCATTACACATAAAACTATTTTTGCTTCCTAAGTTATAGCATTTTGAGACTTTTTCAAGTGCAGTTTGTGGTCAAGGAAGTAATTCTGTTGCGGTATGTTATCTATAGATCACTATATGATCATGTTCATCATTTCGCGCTTTTATTTGATTGTTGGAAATACATTTCTCATTACTTCTAAACATGCTAACAAAGCAGAGATAACACAATGGCAGGGAAAAGATGAATCTCTGTTTGTTCTGTTCAGTCATTATATCATCATTGCCTCTTTGCTATGATTACAGATTTCTTCCTAGTGAAAATGTAGCATATAAGGCAAAATAGAATGTGATTTGGTGCCCTTCTACAGCGGCTTAACTTGTCCATTTTGGAAAGTCTCCACTCAGAAAAAAATCTCTTTTCTTTCTCACTCAAATGTGGAATTCTGTTTCTTAAAAAAAATACTTTCCCGTGCCAAGACTATAAAATTTCTATAGTATCTCTTGCAGTACATAAAGGTTTCTGCTTTCCAAAGACCTTGAAAATGATAAAAGTCACTAGAGAGGATAGAAGCAAATAGAATAAATGTTTAAGTTTCAAAGGTTCATAAGTTAATCATTTCAAATATTTACAGGTATTTGTAGTTGATTTTGAACTATTTTAAACTAAGTACCTTTCTGTTCTCTGTACCATTAGCTGCCTAATGACTGGCTAAGGGTGGTTCTATTTATAAAAAGAGACTGAAAACAGTACAAACAGTATTTCTGAAATAGCGTTTTGATAACATACATGACATATTCTGTTTCATTGGCACTTGATAGAATAACTGGCTTTAGTCATTCACTGCTCTCCATTTAAGAGTAATATAGTCTTCCCAAATGTATCCAGAAAATATCTTCGCGTCATGTTGAATCAGGATTGATATGTATCGCATTGTCTTACAAATTTGAAACTGATGTTTATGAGTAAAGTTGGACAAACTCATCCCAAGGATCTGGTCTTTCTCTTCCTCGCCTGTCTTTTCATTCTCTTCATTCTTGATAATGAGGACAAACGCAATAAAAAAAGTGTTTGATTGGTAGAAGGCCAGCTATTGATTGATTATCCATTATAATTATAGATATTATTGCTGTATTAAACAGCTTCACTGAAAGCCCCTCTATCATTATGAAACCGGCTGCCATTTTATTGTCATCCTTTTACTGATAGTCAACATAGTTTAAATAGCAGATTAAATAGATATTTGCATGAAAAGTTATGATTTGCAATCACATAAGCTTTACTCTGCCTTCTTTAGTTGCAGTGGGAAACATCTCGTTGGTTGGTTACTCTGAGATATTAACTGAAATGTTTTGATTTTTCTTTGACTCATGCTTCAAGAGACATTTAGACAAAATTAAGAACATCAAAGGAAAGAAATGAAGAAGATCATTACTGAATGACTGAAGCACAATACCTATTCAAAGAGGAATGCCATAAATAGAAAAAAAAATATTTTCTCTTGTTAATAAAGATTAGAAGAAAATATAAAAAGCTTCATTTTGCAGCTGGAAATTTGCATTCAGTATATTAGATTAGTTTCAGTGGATTAAGCTACTAAAGAAGGTTTAGAAATCATAATCAGCAAAGTCATTCAGAATTGAGCATCAGTCTGTTCAATGATGAGTCACAAATCATTTCTTTTTAGACTTGGAAAATGGATTAAGGATCTATCGCAATCTTTTACAGTTCACATGATTCTTAGAAATTTTGACTAATTTCAGTGGATTAAAGAAGAATTAGAAGAAAAATAAAGAATTAAAGATAAGAAATTAATAAGAATTAAAAAGAAAAATAAGTGGAGTATTTCTTAGGGCAAAAAATGCATCTTTTTAAAGGAAATATGAAAGCTTAATTAAAACAGATTAACACAATTATGATAGTGAGACGAATTATAATGGGTTTGAGAAATTGCCTATAGAAAGAGATTAAAGTCAAGAAGTTATAATGCTGTAAAACATATTTTCAGAACTGCTGCTTTACATGGAGGTAATGTTTATTTAAAAAGTACTGTTTTAGAAATAATAAAGTAATTCTGTGTCACCTCCTTTAAAAAAAAGGATGTTGGGTCAAGTGTACGATAGCCGAAATGATAGCTTGTCAGTAGTACTCTGCAGGAAAAACATAGTAAATTGTCAATCCCACTGGAGTTAATAGATTTAAAACAAGTTATAGTACATGAATATCCACCTGCCTCAGCGTTCATGCCCTAACCTACATCCCAGATATTCTAGGGATTTAAATATTGACCTAATCATAAATTGTTATTGTTACTAGACATCAACCTAGAGTGTCTGAAACAGGAACCATTGAATAATTCTGGTTGGAAGGGACTTCTGGAGTTCGCCTAGTCCAGACCCTTCTCAAAGCAGATCCAGTTAGGCCAGACTGCTCAGGGCCTTGTCTAGTTGAGTTCTGGATATATCCAAGGATAGCTGAGTTCTGGATATATCCTTCTGCTTGCCCTTCTTCAATATACATGTGATATTTGACTTTTTCACAGTCTTCAGAAACCTCCCCCATCCCTCAAACTTTTGGAAATGATGGACAGTGGCATTGGTCCTTTCCCTCATCACCCTCATGTGCATCTCATCTGGTTCAATGAACTCATGTGTACCCAGCTGGCCAGCAAAATTCTATGTAGTGCAATTACTTCTTTGCATGGATTGAGACCCGTGTTTCTCGCCTTCGCTGGCTTTCCTAGAAAGCCTGTATCCATCTGTGGCAGCACTGAAGTCCTACCACGTCTGACATCCCAGCTCCTTTTAATTCCTTCTACTTCCTTTTATTCCTTCTTGTGCATTTATGCACAATCACTTGAAATGGAAACCAAGTTGTACTTTGTTTTACTTTCACTAGAGCCCCCTCCATCATACAGTCCCACGAACAGCACCTTACCACCCCACTTATTTCCACTTCTCTCTGTGTTTTGCAAAACTTCCCTTGGTATACCTAATTTAATGCCTTCCTCACAAGGTTAGTAACTCTCTTGACAAAAATTTTCTTGCCCTGTTTCATCAGATAGATCCTGTCCCTGCTCAGTAGTTCATGTTCCTCAAAGAGGGTCCTGTGGAAGTGAAAATTGTTCTAACTGAAACACCGGCTGCACATCCAGGTGTTGAACTGCAGGCTGTATCCACCCAGACTTGAGCCTTCCCCCACTACTGGAAGGGCTGAGAACAGCACCTTGCCCGCTGCCCTTTACCCTCGAACCCAGTGCTCCGTAGGTACTTTTGGTATATTCTGGATTAGCCCTAGCAGTATCGTTGGTATCCGTGTGGATGAGCAGCAACGGGCCCAAGGGCCAGATGAGCTGTGTCAGTTTCTCCCAGCATCCTGGACTCAAGCTCCAGACAAGCAACAGGTTTCCTGATTGCCAGTTTTGGCATTAGATGTTGCCTCTGTCCTCTACAGCAAAGAGTCTCCAGTGGCTGTCAGCTGCTGTTCTTTGTGGTGTGGATAGTTACTTACCTGGTTTTGGTAGATGTGTGCCCTGTTGAGTCTTCCTACTCCTCCCTTGATCACGGTACAGGTTACTTCACCTGTTCTGTAATTTTAGATCTGCAGGCAGAGAAAAAGCCTTTCTTCTGTTGCCAGAAGTCGCAAGTGTCCAGGCTTCCCTATCTTGTGATCATGTGTGTGCTGCTTCTTTAAGGGTGATTTCTAATGGCCCTTCTCTTTTTCATTGTGAGCTTGGGCTCTTGAGGCTGCTGTCAGTCTCCTGTGCATGTTTCCTGACAGTGCATTCACCTCTCTTGTGATTGCTCAGCACCTTGAGAAGAGCTCAGCTGCCACAGGTGAGGCCACTGTCTCCCCAGACACACGTGGGAGACACACATAGCCCTACACAGCAGCCGTTGATGCATCTGGTGTGATGGGAAATTGGTGCTGGAGACTGTACTCTGTGGTGGCGAGCACCAACACGTGCAGTGCTGAGCAATCCCACTCAGGCTTGAGGAGAGTTTCTGGGCCCCTTTGTGTACCTGCTTCCATATCTGCTGTGACAGCTGCTGTGTTTACTTTAGCTCCCACTGTTCACTGTCGTCTTGAATGGGAAAAGGCTGCTTGATAAATTTCTTACTATGAAGGCTTTGGCAAATACATTTTTAAAGCCACTAGATGTTGCTCAATTGGTCTTTTTGCATTTGTGCATTTCTGAATGTATATCCATTTGTAAAGTTTGAGTCATTGTGAGAACTTAAAATTGTTGTCCTGATAAATTACTGTTTTGTCCCAAGTGAAAAATGAACATGACTTGATAAACGCCATTGGAATGAATGCAGTGGTAGTCAAAGGATTACAAGAAAAAAGTAATTGCATTTCATCAGAGAATGGTTCTTTCTCTAGATGCTTAACTCCTGATGCAGAAGCACGTCCAGACATAGTGGAGGTCAGCTCACTGCTATCTGAGGTGATGATGAAATGTTTGGATATCTTATCCACTTCCCATCTCATGCTGGAGAAAAAACTGGATCGGGAGAGGATACGCACCCAGAGGTACTTCATGGAGGCTAATCGAAATGCAGTGACTTACCACCACCAGCTTTCCGTTTTATCACAGGTAAGTTCATGTATTAGTCTTTTTTTTTTCTCTTATCACAGCATGTCATATCTGGGAAAATGAAGTCTAGCAAAGCAGAAAATAAAACAAAATGAAAAGACAAACCTCTTAGAACAATTTCAAATTCATGCAGACTCTTTAATTTATTTTTAACTAGGTACTTTTTCATTCTCTGTAGACGTGCTCATGCAGGAAAAATAATAATTATCTTAAAAACCTATTTCATCATATGTTGGAAAATGACATTATTGTGGAGGTACTTGCAATTTTGATATCCTTTGATAACATCTAATTATTAATGCCCATTTGTGAAGTGTTAGTGAATAGGAGAATGTACACTTGGCTAGAGTGGAACAAATGGATAATCTTGTGTATGATTCACAAACAGTGGCACTAAGAAAATGAAACCTACACAAATACAACTTTTAACTACAGGTTGGTAGATAAAGAGCAGTAATGCTGATAATGTATTTGCTAAGGCTTTCTTATTGTCTGATACAGATATTTTTTAGTATGCTTGTTTATCTTCGCATGCTTTCTGTAAGGCTTATAGAAATTAATCACTTTTCTTTCATAGGTTTTCAAATTAGTAGTCCAAGAATATTGTCTGTATCCGGCGATGACATATTACTGTTTCACCCTGTTCTGTTTTTCATAAAAATGATGCCAACAACTTCCCCAAAATATCAGTAAACCACTGTGATTTGAAGTATGAGAGATACTGAAATGGAGGAAAGGTATAGGATAGCATTATGACTTAAACAAGTATCAAAAGTTATTTTACAAATATGTAGTGTTTTCTTATCCTACATTGAAAGCTGGTTGTATAACATTTTTCATATCTTGATACAGTCATTCTCATGCATAACTCTGATCAATTTTGCAAAAACACCTACAATGCAAAACCAAACTGTGTTTATTGTAGTATTTCAATGCAGTGCATTCTTCAAGAAGAGTGCTCTGTCCAGACCTTTGTAAGCCTTTATATAACCTTTATTATGATCCATTAGCTGTACCTTGAAGTTAGAGCACTTCTGTTTTGTATAAAGTCTTAAAAAATACACTAGTCTTGCAAAGAGAAGGAAAACACCTCTGTAATTTATGGAATAATGGCTTATCTTCTGAAGGGAGAAACACTGTAATTCTAGTTCAACTCCAAAAGGTATTTTATTATGTATATAGAATTAAAGAGATTCAAAAGGAGGGTCTGAGAAAGATCCAGAACACCACTGAAGTTGAAGGAATATGACTCTATATGGAGAAGTGGGAGACCTGATTGCGTGTTCTTGTGTAGATCAGATAGAATAAGAAATTAGGCTGGGAATTCCCAGATTTCAAGAGAGTGCTTACAGGGTTTACAAGTAGGAGGAGCCTACAAATATAAGGTTTCCTTTTTAGCGTTGCAGGAAAGATTTATGAAGCTGAAGGATTCCTAATAAAAAAAGAAAACTAACTACTCCTGAAGAGTTTTAACTTTTGAAGAAAAAAAAACAATATTTTGACTAAAAATATTAAGGATTTCAAGCAGCTGTTCTTGAAATGAAAACTCTATGAGGTGTGGACAACCTCATTCATCTTAGTCATGGCCCCAGTGATTCCAGAGCCAGGTAATTTGTCATTTTTCCATGGTGTCAGAAAACTCAGCATTTCTGCCATGTAGCTCAAAGTTCTGTTGAAGCTACTCATCTCACACATCATTTTCTCTCTACGGAGATGTGCCGTGGTCTTCTTTTTCACCCCAGTTATGTCGTGTTGTGAATGTTGCTCAAATAAAGAGCATGTTTCCTGTCTGGGTTTACAGAACTATGCGGCATAGATCTTTTGGAGCCAGAGAGGAGTCTGCTTTATAAACTGGTTGAGACCAGTGTGGATAATGATGACCTGGTAACCTGAAGGACCTGTTATCTCGCCTGGCAAATATAGCATAGTATCTTGAAAATAGTCCTGATAAAAATAATCATTGTCACCTCCTTACCTAAACTCTTATCCTTCATTCTTTTTCTTTTTTTCTTTTTTTCTTTTTTTTTTTTTTTTTAATGAGAGCAAAAAGAGATGTAAGGATGGTGTTTAATAGCAGTAGTGTCCTGAAAGGAGTGTCCTGAAAGTTAGTTTGCTGGTATATCATAGAGTACTTAGGGCACAAAGTAATAATTGTATATCATACATAGTACCTTTCATTTCAAGGTAGTCAATATTATATTTTCATGCTGTGAATGGAAAATGGTGAAGAGGGAAAAGGTAGTTTGTGCAAGGTCGCCAAACAGACCATTGGCAAAGTTGAGTCTACTGGTTCTCATATAAAGATATGAGTGGGTAACTTAGTGTGGATTCCATTGCTTTATTTCAGATAGCTAGATTTGAGAAGTATAGAAATTATTTTGGCAGCGTACAAAAAGCTCAAAATACATCATTTTTAGTACTGTTGAAATATATATTTGATTACATGATTATCATCCATTATTGTTTCACTTACTGCGTATGTCCTGAGCCTTTTCACCTTAGGGTTAATGCCTAGGAGCCCTAGAGAAGCAAGTAGATTCACGTAATTCTTGTCATATAAATAGGAAAACCTTTCTCTAAATGCCTGCTTTTTTTCAATTTACAATATCAGTATACCAAAAACACACCTTGATTTTGTACTGCAAATTATGTTTTCCTTCAAAATGTACAGTTCCCCTCCAGAACAATATAGTGTGATGTGTAGCTGAGATCGGCTACATGCTTTGAATGTGGGATAGGAGACCATAAACTTTATGTCAGAATCTATATGTAAAAATATATAACAAAATCTGAGCCCTTTGTACCTAGTACTGTTCTGATCATATAGGTAGTCTGTCATGTCTGCCCACTTCTAAAGTAATCTCTGAGAGTAGCCTCTGTATCTCCCCCAAAGGTTGGTTTGTGCATTTGGCACACCCGCTCTATCACATTCTTTCCATATAGCAGGATTTTATAGTGTTCTATTCTTTAGGAAGTTAAGCTTATTTTCGTTCTTTGTGTTAATAATATCACCTGAATTCACATTTTATGTATAAATCCACACTTTATATTTAAATATTCAAATGCAGTTCCCTATTATGCGGAGTACGGTAACGGGAGACTAAGATGCTTAGGTAATGGAACAGTGGGTGAAACTGCTGTTGTACAGTGCAGTCTAGCGGAGTGGCTCCACATGCAGCGTTTGTCAGGGTTAACAGTCACCCTTGGCTGAGCTGAGTGCTTCGGGGTAGTGTTCACAGGCGCAGGGATGCTCATCAGCTGTGGCATACGTAAGGTAAAACGGTGATAGAAGCAATATCTTCATACAGGACTGTGTCTAAAGTGAAGAACCTGGCCAGACTTGACATGGTTTGTGCAGTTCTCTGTTATCCCCAGACAGACTACCCCAAGTTAGGGAACAGTTTGGAATCCGCATAGAAAACCTCTCTGCTTTCAGCTATCACATGTCTGAAGATGTCCTTTTTTTTTCCCCCATTCAAAAATACTATCTGGAAATCTCTGAGGAGACCTGAACCACTATTAGAAGAGAACTGAAAATCCTGGGCGTATCCATAGCACATATATGAACTGTGTGATATACAGCAGTTGCAATTAGTCGGATGCTTTCAGAAAATGTTGGCCAACTTTGTATGGCTGACACATCAGCCGTGTTATGGATGAGGTATTCCAGGAGATAACAGATGTATGTAAGAATCTGCACATATGTGGTGCACGTGACACCTCAAGGTATCAGATCTACATTTTGTGTACAAGGGGTGTTGTAAAAGTGTTGCAAGAGTGGTAAGTCCAGCATGTTTCCAAAATATTGGATGTACTGAGCAAGTACAAGGCTGCTACACAGTACTAACATGTTAATGGCCAGGATCCCGGGAAATTATGATAGCTGAGTGCTTGCAGTTAAGGGGGTTTAAAGACTAACATGAATTTCCCTTGTTTCAGTGACTAACTGTAAATGACTAAAAAGTGTTAATTTACTGTTACTTTTTGTCCTCTCCACACTTGAAATACATACATAACTGTTTTTTCTTATCTTTGTTATATCTCCCCTCTGACATTTTTTTTCCTTTGGACTGAATAATCCAATTCCATCAGTCTTAGTCTGTAAGTTGTGCTTTTAGACCTATTCTCATTTCTCTCCATTGGTCTCTTTCCAATTAATTTAGTTTAGTTAATCAGTTTGAAGCATAGTGTCCAAAACTGGACTCAGTTACTCCAGCTACAAGCCTTTTCGGTACTGAGCAAAAGGACTTCACTGCTCTTAGAGATGGTTCTCCTCTTTTATACCTCCCAGTATGATTGCCTTTTCATAAGGGCATGGTCTTGTTAAATCCTGTTCTGTTTCTGGTCCACCCAAGCCCCATATCTTTTCCTGTAGAGATGCTGCTGTCTACTATTCATTTCCTGTTCTGCGCATTTCTGCAGTTGTTTCTCCCTGCTCACACAACTTCATATTTTTCCGTTCCTGCACTTCGTCCCTCTTGATGAACAGGGGATACCTAAATCTTGACTAGTATAAGATCGTATTTACTTGTCTTTAATAATGAAGTTTAATTAAACATTTTCTTTTCCAAATACTATTATAGAGCTGTCTATTTCTTAGAGAAAAATTATTTCATTTGGACTGAAATATGGCAAATTAGACCTAAACTAAGTATCTGTATTTTAATTAAAACTACTTTTTGTTTTTCAAGAGTGTGCATTTTTATTTATAAAGATTTAGATTCTTGATGGAAATGGAAAAGACCAATTTCCAGTGCAGATATCATTTGTCTAAAAATGAAGTACATCTGATATGACCGTGTTTATGGTGACCAGTGGAAACAGAGAGAGTGAAAGTACGTAGGGTATGGATGAAACATCTCAGCTCTTAGAGGCTTTTCTTTTCAGTTGTAACACAGATTTCTGTTTCCACAGATGCATTTGCTCTGTTATAAAGATGAAATCAGGAAAAAAAAAAGTTTAATGGCTCTTAATGAGAAGATTTTTGCACAGGGAGTTGTTTCTCTTTGATTTCTTTTATTTATACAAGAAAGCAGACTTTGTTTTAACAGAGGTGGTAAACAGTCTGGTCCATGGGGAAAATGAGGCTGATTATAACAATATGAAATTAAGTTAGATTAAGTGAGGAAGCCTCTAGAAAGACTTGTAAAATAGCGAACTACAGAATGAGCTAGGAGCTCAGTTTAAATCAATCAGTTATATCCATTTAACTTGTGTTTAAATGTTGGAAATGTTTTCTGTGTTTTCCATATCTCACTGTTTAATATATTTACTCACAGTCTATGGATCTGTCTTCCTGCCTATGGAAAGTGTTGTTTTAAGGTGTTGGAGAATCCCTTCTCCGGAGTCAGTCAAAGCCTGTTCAGTTTATTAATGAGTAACCTGAAGGGACAGAGTGCACCCTCAGTGAGTTTGCTGAGGATAGAAAAGTGGGAGGAATGGCTCATAACCCAGGGGTCTGTGCAAGAGGGACCTGGACAGCCTGGAGAACTGGGGGTAGAGGAACCTTATGAAGTTCAACATGGGCAAGTGCAGGGTCTTGCAGCTAGGGAGGAATAACCCCATGCACCTGGACAGGCCGCGGGTTGACGTGTTAGAGGGCAGCTCTGCAAAAATGGACCTGGGTATCGTGGTTTGCGACAAATTGAGCATGAGCCATCAGTGTGCCCTTGTGGCCACTGATACTGGTGGCTGAGGTCTGACGGTACTCAGAGTGCCCCCACAATATTGCAATGGCAGGAGATGTCTTTGGGTGGCCACTAGCTCCAGGCTGTGGTGTTTCACTGCGGGTGCAGGAATCGCCCTCCACTGCCCCTTCCCTGGGCCTCCTGGGTCCCCACTGCCTCCCTGGGGATTGCAGAGCCCTCCTTTCCCCATGTGCACCTGGGTTTAGTGCTCTACCTTCTGGTCCCTGCACTGTGAGTCATCCCTGTTTCGTTAAAGCTGCACTCAGTGCCCACTCCCAGGCAAAC